AGGGGCAGAGAGTGTTGTGCATCTGATCACCTACCTGAGGGGCAGAGAGTGTTGTGCATCTGATCACCTACCTGAGGGGCAGATAGTGTTGTGTATCCGATCACCTACCCCAGGGGCAGAGAGTGTTGTGTATCCGATCACCTACCCCAGGGGCAGAGAGAGTTGTGCATCTGATCACCTGCCTGAGGGGCAGAGAGTGTTGTGCATCTGATCACCAACCCCAGGGGCAGATAGTGTTGTGCGTCTGATCACCTACCTGAGGGGTAGTCAGTGTTGTCGTGTTGCTCATCGTGTCCTCCATATGTTGGGTCTGAACGTCGAGCGTCTCAAACTGATGCTCAAATTTGTCCATTAAGGCGGAGATCTGCAACGCACAAAGGTCAGTCATCAGAAATGGGGGTCATGTGACCTCTGGAGAAGTCAGACATGGGAGTCATGTGACCTCTGGAGAAATACAACCAATCATCACACACGCAGGAGAATTTCCTTTGCACCGCTCACCTTCTCCAGGTTCATACTCTTCAATGTGGAGTCCATGGATTTCACCACCCCGGCCATCGACTTGGTGACCTGGAACAGGAGACACGGAAAGCACGTCAGTCACACAGACAGGGGCGGGGCCAAGGGGGAGGCAAAAGGGGCGCACAGCTGGAGGGGGTGCAAGACGAGCAAAACCGGCAACCAATGCTGCACAGCTCATGGGGGGGTGGGGGGCACTTCGGCCTCTTTGCTATGGATGCTCAAGGACCTCGTCCCCGCAGTGCACACAGACATCACCGGCCTGCATACATGAAACATGTCAGAGTTCGGAGGGATTCCTATCATTGGGTGTCACTCAGAATCCATCCCGACTGCTCCAATATGAAGTTTTCACACTTTGGGGCAGATTTCCATCAGATGTCGTGAAGACGCCGGCAGCACATTGTGAGATTCAGCATACGCGGCCCCTCCAGCCAATCAGAAGACTGCGAATCCGAACCACCGAAGGCGAGATGATGTCACAGCAAATATAGTGCCGAGGAGATTAGAGTAGGAACACGGGGTCCACACACGCGGGGTCCGTCCACACACAGGGGGTCCACATGCGGGGTGTCCGTCCACACACAGGGGGTCCACATGCGGGGTGTCCGTCCACGCACAGGGGGTCCACACACGCGGGCGAGGAG